GCGGCCACTGCACTCCAGTCTGGGCGACCGAGTGAGACTCCAACTCAAAAAATAAAAATATAAATAAGACGGGCTCGGTGGCTCAGCCTGTAATCCCGGGTCTTTGGGAGGCTGAGGTGAGTGGATTGCCTGAACCCGCGGGTTCGAGACCCACCTGGGCAACTTGGCGAGACCTCATCTCTACAATAAATCAAAATTAGCCGGGCATGGTAGCGCGCGCCTGTAGTTCCAGCTACTCGGAAGGCTGAGGTGGAAGGATCGCTGGAGCCCAGCGGGTCGAGGCTGCGGTGGCCGGGAGCGGCCACTGCACTCCAGTCTGGGCGACAGAGTGAGACTCCGACTTAAAAAAAAAAAAAAAAAAACAACTAAAAACAAAAAACAATTGTGGACCAAGTTTCATGACCCCAAGGTGTGACTCGTTAGGGATATGTGATTTCAGATTTGCTAAAACCTGACAAGTTGTGGGATCCAACACTGGTTAAACAGAGTCACTCCAAAGTGCCACCAAGGACAGGATCCCAGTCCTGTGAGGGGCATGATGAAGCCTTCTGGAGGAGGTGAGATTTCAGCCAAGACCCAACAGGTGAAGAGGAGCTGGCTGTGTGGCTGCACAGGGGAAAGTGTTCCCGGCAGAGGCACGTGCAAAGGCCCTGGGGCAGGAACAACCGTGGCTGTTGGAGCTGAGACATGTACACGGGCTCCTCTCTGTGCTCACACTTTCACTAACCAGCAAGACCTCGAAGTGGGCACTGGCTGAGGTCTGGGGACTCAATCCTGAACGGGGAGTACGGTGAAGCCTGGAACAGACAATGTCTGAGCCCAGATCCATGGTGTGATCTGAATGCTGGGCATGGCCACCCCGCTGGATGCCAGGCCCCGGGTCCCTCTGCCTCAACGGGCGTGGGCGCAGGGTGCTCACCTCATGTTGAAGGGTGCCATCAACCGCACCACGTACTGCCGGTCCTTGGGGAGCTTGAGTTTGGGGATCTTTGACGGGTCGAAGTCCGGCGGGTAGTATTTCTGTGGGAAGGGAGAAAGCATGGGGGGAGCTGTTTCCAGAAGCCAGAGGGGCAGGACGGGCACCATGTTTCACGCCTGTAGTCCCGGCGCTTGGGGAGGCTGAGTTGCAAGGATCCCTTGAGGCCAGGAGGTCAAGACGCACCTGGGCAACATCATGAGATCCCGTCTCTACAAGAGACAAAAAAGTGAGCCCGGCATGGTGGGGCCTGCAGTCCCAGCTATTTGGGAGGCTGAGGCAGGAGGACTGTTGGAGGCCGGGAGTCGAGGCTGCAGTGAGCTACGATTGTGCCACTGCGCTCCAGCCCGGGTGACAGAGGGAGACTCTGTCTCTGAAAGGCAGAAAAAGTGGGGGCAGGCCATGGGCGGAGGGAAGGGGTCTGGAGACACCAGCACAGCGGGCACAGGTACCAGGCCCGTGCGGCGACGTCAGGCAGGCCAGGACGAGCTTCCAGCATCTTCTTCCAGGATGCTGCAAAATCCCCCAGGATAGGGTCACCACACGCGTGAAATGTCGCCTGCCAGGGAGGCTCGGAGACCCACGGTTCCCGGCAGGAGCTGGTCACGCAGGCGGCCTCTGCCGGGCCAAGACTCCAGACTCCCCGGGCACCACCAGCCCTCGAGTCCTGAGGGCACCGCGGGAGCCATCCCGAAATGCAGGTCCCCAGGTCCCAGCCTCGGGCAGGGTCTTTCCAAGGCCCCAGGCCGGCTGCAGGTCGCCTCTGCACGGGAGCCTGCGGGAGGGCGAGCTCGGGCCACGAAAAACAAACCCATCAGGGAAGAAAAACCAAAAAAGTGAAAAAAAGAAACCCAGGGGACAGCGGGAAAACAAAATCCTCTGTGCCTGGAGCACCCGCGGGCGGCCAGACAACCCCCGGAGCACGCCGCCTCCCCTGCCTCGAGGCATCCTGGCAAAGACTCCGGGAGGCAGAGCCCGCGTGCCCGTTTCACGGACGGGGAAACTGAGTCCTGCAGGGGTCTGGGATCCGGAGCCTCCTCGAGGTCAGGAGGTCAAGACACGCCTGGGCGACACCGCGAGACTCTGTCTCCACCGGAGATGAAAAAAACCCAAAAAACAAAAACCAGGAGCCTGTCGGGATGGCGCCGGCCGCCCCCGCCGTTTGGGAGGCTGAGGCAGGAGGCCCGTCGGAGGCCGGGAGTCGAGGCCGCGGGGAGCGAGGATCGCGCCGCGGCGCTCCGGCCCGGGTGCCTCCGGGGGAAGCTGGGCGGCACCGGCTAACCCAGCCCGGGGCTTCGCTCGACGGAGGCGGGCGGGGAGGAGGCGACAACGGGGGGCGGCGCGGGACCTCCACCCGCACCCCTGAAGCGTGTGGCAAAGCCGAACGCCTCCCAGGGACGCGATTGGCTAGAGAGCCCGGGTGGGGCGTGGCTGAGCAAAGCCCCGCCCCTCAAGAAGAAGGTAAACAGATCGCCAGTATTTGGAGGACGCCCCGCCCCCTCCCTGGAATGTGATTGGAGCATTCTCTTCGGAAAGACCAACCTCGTGACATGATTAGGCAAATATCCCCAAGCACCGCCCCTGCCCACAGGTGATTGGGTCCATCCCCGCCCGGAAGGGAAGGCTTGGCGAAGGCCCACCCCCCGCGGAAGGTGATTGGGAGGAGTCTGGGAAGCCCCGACCCGCGGAAGGCCAGTGAGGAAGAAGAAAACCGTTCCAAGAACAGACCCCAGGAAGCCCCGCCCTCTCCCGGAGTCCCGGGATGGCCCGCTCCGACTAGAAAGCCCCAGTTGCCCAACACTCACGTTTAACACTTTTCGCTCCGACATCTTTGCCTCCTAATAGCCTCACAGGCGCCGGAGAACGTGTTAGTCTCGGTAATTCTCGAGCTTCTCCGACCGAAGCTTGGGCTTTCGTGACGTCACTTCCCTCAGCCTTTGTTATTGGCTATGGCGTGCGCGGCTTGCCCTTCTCATTGGCTCCCATGAGCGCCTATCAGGCTGTGAGTCCTGGCGTCTTCTTTCCGGCGTTGAACCTTGAGAGCGCGAAAGCAACGTTCCGGGGGGCGGGGGTCGAGATGTAGAGAATTCGGAGAATTTCCCCTAGGGGCGGCTCGTGACAGTTTTGTGACATAACGTGGCTGCTAGTCGAGACACTCCCTGTGCACGCTTTTTATCCAGCAAACTTGTATTAAGCGTCTCCTGTGTGTGCTGAGCGCGGGGGGGCCCCCACGTCGTTCCTGGGCCCTCAGCTCTGTCTTGGGAATCAAGGGTACAAATAGGGCGACATTAGGGGGACATAAGAGCCCTGTGTCCGCCTTGAGTCACCGGCATCTGCTTGAAGATCAGGCTCCAGGCCAGGCACAGTGGCTCAAGCCTGTGATCCCAGCACCTTGGGAGGCCCAGGCCGGAGGATCGCCTGAGGCCAGGAAATGGGTGCCAGCCTGGACAACACAGCAAGACCCCATCTCTGATAAAAATAAAACAACACCCACAAGCTTCTTGTTAGGTCAGACCCAGTGGGTGGGGGTGGGGGGTGCCCGGCTTGCCATCCAGAGCTGCGTGAAAGATGCAAAGAATCGCACAGAAGTTAGATCAGAAAATAAAATTTATTTAGAAAGTCAATTAGGGAGAGAGAGAGAGGGAGAGGCGATTTCACCTCCCCAAGGTAGGGGAGGGGGCCAAGGCCAGGAAACTTAGCGGCCATAGCTCAAAGAGCCACGAGGACACACCAGAGTTTAACAAAGCGATGGCCGGCCGGGCTCGGTGGCTCAGCCTGCCATCCCAGCACGTTGGGAGGCCGAGACGAATGGATGGCCTGAGCCCGCGGGTTCGAGACCGAGACCGTCCCAGGCGACTTGGCAAGACCTCGTCTCTACAATAAATCAACAAATTACCTGGACATGGGGGCACGCGCCTGTAGTTCCAGCTCGTTGGAAGGCTGAGGCGGAAGGATCGCCGGAGCCCAGCAGGTCGAGGCTGCGGTGGCC